TAGTAGTAGTAGTAGTAATAGTATTGGTGCACGTTTCGGTTTTTCTTTGCAACCTTTTTTGCACTGCCATGGTGGTGCGTGGCACTTTGCAACCAGGCCAGCACGGCATCAAGCGAGACCCCGGCATCTGGCCCGACTACTGATCTGGCCTGGCCCGGCTGCCCGGCGAAGCTCCGACACGAGCTTTTTCCGTTTCCGTTGCTTCCCGAAGGGAAGCAGCTTCACTGCAGAATCTCTATACTTCTCTAGCAGAACCGACAAAAGGTGTCGCTTCTGTTGGAGGCTTCATAATTTTGCTGGAGCATCTGAGGGTTTGTCTTTGGCATCTTGCATTCTGCCATGCTCTGCTATGCTGCTCACGATGGTTTTTGTCAGTCGCTCAGTTGTTGGTCTGCCTTCGGCGCGTCTGCTTTGCTTTGCTTCCTGGCTTTGCTTCTCAAAGCTTGGGCTCGGACGCAGCGTGGAGAGTGGGAGGGCGGGGCGCGGAGCGTGTCGGAACCCTCCGCAAGGCTGCAAACGTAAACTCTGCATTGCTCTGCAGATTGCTGCAGGAGCTGTGCCCTTTCTGCTTTTCCTCCTCCTCCTCTTCCTGCCAGGCAAGCATGCAGCAGCCAGGAGGGCACCCCATGGCACCTCAGCGGCAAGGGTGAGTGTTATCTGTGTCTTATCAGGGTTGAATTCCATTGAAAAAGCAGGTGGGTGCGCCACCATGGCAGGCCTAAGTCAGTGACTGTGGCGCTGTGGCTGTGCATTTGCAGATGCTGCTCTTTGCCAGGTAGCCCCAGGGCAGTATCTGCAGGCCCCATCGCCATATAACGTCTCCCCTCTATCGAATCTGACTTTCAGGGTGCTCCTCCCGGTGCTCCACCTGCTCCACCTGCGCTGCGGGGCCTCGCTCCAGGAGTGAGATTTGCATCCATTCAAACATCTATAAACATCTCCATTTGCATCTCCTTGCATCTCCATCCGAGTGTCCATCGAGAGTAAGCGAGTAAGCGAGCAAGCTGCTGATCAGGACCGGGGCTCCTGGGTCTCGGCGCCCCGCGAGTGCCAGGCACAGCAACACTTTGCTCAGCCAAGCTCAGCTTTGCCAATGCCAGGTCCTCCGCCAATGATGCCAGGCTAACAAGTTGAGCAGGAATTGGGAAAAAGCTTAAGGGAGCTTTGTTCTCAGGACTCCGGCCTCTTGGGTGCGAGCCTTCAGAGGGCAGCGGTTGCAGCTAACCTGAAAAGCTCTGAGGGGCCTGGGCCATCCTCTGGGCCCCAATGCGGGAACCAACGTGGGCAGCGGTGCCGCTCCAGTCCCTTTGGCCTTTAGCAATTTGGGTGGTTGTCAAAATTTAGTCCTTTTTTGGGTCCCCTAAATATTAGGTGCCGTAATATAATCGGGACCCAACAAGGGACCATAATTTTGACAACCATCCATTTGATGTCAGCGGATCACTTTGCCTCTCGCCTCTGCCAGGGTCTCCTCGGCCTGCCGGAGGGCACTTTCAAGGAGAAGAGCGCTTTTGCTTTTTTGCATTGCTAAAAATTGGCGAAATTTCACTTCTGCCAGGACCCAAATCGGTCATTGGATCAGATGCGTGCTGAGGTGAGCAGGGCTGAAACCTTAGAGCTCTGGGGCATTAGCACAACAGTCGTGGAGCCCATCACACAAAGCAGCAAGAAACAGCCAAAGACGCCGGCTTCTGCCGACTGGAACTGACCAGGGAAAAAAGAACGTTTCCGCCGAACTGACCGGTCAACAGAGGTGCCTTGAAAGTACCCCGGGCAAAAGGAACGGGCCCCGAATGCGAGCACGTAGTATGCTCCATCTCTCAGCTTGAACCCGTACTGGCAGGCAATAGCATTCCAGTACCTTGCGTCCAACACTAAAGCATTGGGCTTGTCGCGTGCCGAGGTGGAGCAAATCTGCAAGCAGCACGCAGCGGAAGCCAAAGCTTACGTTGGCGATCGCCTCGGTCCAGCTTTGTAGCCGTGGAGAGAAAGCCTGATTTCTCGGCTTTCAAAGCACTTTCTGCAAATTTTAGCAGCTTCTCTGCATGTCAGCTCCTTGATGCGCTTTTCGGCTCTTTGCTTCTCGCTCCGGAGTGTGGCGTGGGCCCTGACAGCCTGACCAACCATGCAGAGAGGAGGCGCGGGGATTCGCGGGCCTTCGCGGGATGTGCGGGAGGTCCTGGCGCAAGGAATGCAGGGTGTCCACCTAAAGCTGAGCTGGCGCGTCCGCAGGTGACGATGATCTAAAGCTTTCTGTTCGGAATGCCAGTGAGGCTGTCCGTTTCGTGGGAAAATGGTTTTCTGCAGACATCGCTCCTTGCAAGGTTTCGGGGAGTTCAAGGCCCTCTCGGTGCAGCAGCGCCGGCAGCCAAATCAAAGCAAAGCTGCAAAGCTGTCGGCGCCTGTCAAAGCAAAGCTGAACGACTTCAGGATGCAGCACTTACACGGCACCGCCGTCGGCATCGCTCGGGAAGGTGCGCCTCGTGCAATTTTCCAGGCTGCGAGTGGCTATGTTGCCAAAAGTGAGGCATGAGGAGGGCTTGACCCTCGAGCAGCAGCAGAAGGCAGTCCAGGAGACAAACCGCAAAACAATCCCGAACCCTCTTCGATTCTCAAATCTTCGCAAGGATGCGGCTTTCGAGCGATACCTCGATTCCCTGCGGCAAGATGCCAAGAAGGCACTTTCACCTGAGCATGCGAGCATGGCTTGGGATTGAAGCCTTTCACTTCATTAACTTGGCTCCTTGTTCTCAGGCAGTGGTTGAGGCCAAGGTGTGGCAGCAGACCGTTCAGGGCGGAATGAACGATGCTCCGTGGCTGCAAGCAGCCGCGAGCAGAGAAACAGTAAAGCGGCCGATGCTGTTAGGAGGCAACCGAGCGCCTGCAGAAGCGAGATTTGTACCAGAAGAACCAAGCGCAGGCAGGGTCCATGTCAGTCAATATATCTAAAAAGCTTGCAAACAGCCCCTTCAAATTTGTCTATGTTCTGTCAAGTCGTGGCTGTCACAGAACTCAGATGATTTCCCCCCCATCACCTGAACTTCTGTGAAGGGAACTTTCAGAGTGGCTACTGAAATGACCTAAGGCGACATAAGGGTTAAGCCTGGTGCGTGCCGCGCTGAGCCAGGCTGATCCAAGCTGAGCTTAAGAATTCAACTTGCCACAACGGCTCGAAGAAGTTGTTTTGGCAACAGAACGGGTAGCGGCATCAATGCGGCATCACACTGAACCTTGCAATCCAGAGTTGCTTTGGTCGGTAGACGTCGGCGGAATGAGTTTTCTCTCTACCAGGAAGCACGCGAGAAAGTAGTGCTGAGGCACTTCTCTTCTTTTTTTCCTTTTTGGATCCCCGCCCAGCACTGCTATTACTCTCGCCTTTCTTGAAGTTCTAACAAAGAAGATGTAGTAGTGGTAGTTGTGGTCGTCCTTTCGCCCTCGCAAGTAGTAGTACTCGTAGTAGTAGTAGTCGTCGTCGTCGTCGTCGTCGTCGTCGTGGTCATCGTCGTGGTCGT